TCGTGTCTAGTTCGTCGGATCACGCGGCCTTTCGCCGGGATCAAACGTTCAAGGCACCCAACACACCTCAGTTCAGTTCAGTTCTTACAACCATTAACCATGCAATTTCATGCGCCGGTTTTGGTTGCCCATTTAGATAAAATAGCAGAATGATGATTAGAATGTTAAGAGCAGATTTTACGTGGAAGGTAACACATTTTCAGAGACTGAAGTTACAAGGATAATGAATAGATGCATGAGCGCCACTGTTTGCGACACCCAGCCACATCTTTCAGTGTCTCCAATCACCGGTAACCATGATCTCTGGGTCCCCAGTCAGGGAGCCCAACGGGACCTATGTCAGCCAGTCTCGTGGTCAGGGTTTTCATACCCTCATCCCAGGTCTTAGCTTGACCGCCCTTCGTTTTTTTCCAACCGCTACTCGCCTCGGCAAGCATCGCTCGCCGTGGCGACCTATCTGGTGACATGCGTAGCATATGTCCCAACCAGTGTGATCTATGGAGGTCGACTGCCTGTTCCAGTGGACGACCGCGATTACCTAAAACTCTACGCCTAACCTCAGCATTGCTCGTCCGGTTTCCTCACCAGACTCGTGCAATGCTACGTAGACAGCGGTATTCGAACACCGACAGTCTATTTTTATCCTGTTCCCGTAAAGGCCAAGTCTCTGCGCCGAAAAGCAGAACTGGCCGAAGTGCTGCAACATATACTCGAACCTTCATAGACAACCGGATGTCGCGACGGCGCCACAGATGTCTCAAGTTGGCAAATGCCAACCGAGCTTTCTATATGCGCGCCGACATTTCATCTGTGATGCGTCTGCCAGGTGAGATACAGCTGCCCAGGTAGCAAAACTTGTCTACTTTCTCTACAACTTACCCGGTCAGAATGAGGCTGGGGACTGAGCCAACACAATCTTGGAGCAGCATTTTGCACTTTGAAGGTGCAAAGCGCATGCCAAACACCGCTACACTAGCACTCAAACTATCCAAAAATTCTTGCAACCTGAATCTTCACTTAGTAGCACAATGTTCTGTGCATACTCTAGATTGGACGGTCTACCACCTGGGAGTAAATCGATACCGCTATCCCCGCACGAGAATAAGGCTATTTCAAGAATTAACAAAGTTAAATAGAAATGGAGAGAGAGGGTAACCCTGTCGAACACCACTTCCCGTGATGAACTTGGGCGAAAAAGTGCCGTAAGCTCAGACTCGGTTTCGACTATTATTATAGAAGGATTGTAATGTTGAAATAAACTTCTCTGGCACACCTTTCAGAGAAAGGCAGCGCCAGAGTTTATAGTGGTCGACTGAGTCGAAAGCTGCTTTCAAGTCGAGGAACATGGAAATGGTGGGTCTACGAAAAGTGTCTGTGTTCTAGGATTTGACGAAGAGGTAAAGATGTGGTCGATACAACCTCGACCAGGTCTAAAACCAGCCTGGTTCTTACGTGTGCACTCTTCACGAGCGGCAGACAATCGACGGAGTATGATCCCGGCGAGAAGTTTAGAGGCAATGGTAATTCAATTAATTTCTCTGTGGTTTTCACAAGAGGACCTGTCGCCTTTCTTGTAAATCGGTATGATTGCCGATTCACACCATTCAGTTGGAACCTGCTCCTTTTCCCACACAGAACCCAGGAGTTTTGTTAACTCCAAAACCAAGGCTAGACCTCCATCAAAGAAAAAGAAGAAAGAAAGGAAAGGATTGCTACTATTACCGATAACCACAGCCTTCATCATCTCTCTACACGTTCCTACCCACCACTTCTCGCGGTCATTCCTCAGAATCTTGATGAGCTGGCGTTTAAGCGATTTGCGCGCTTTGTCGTAGTTTGAATCCGAAGGAATGGCTTTGCGAGCGTCTAGCTGGTAAACGAAGATGGGGAGATCCATCGTTTTTTAGTTGATCGTGAGTCAGAATTTGCTATTGTTTTGATTAACATTTTGATCGCCTCCTTGATTGCCGTCCAATGCTCACTGAGTCCTCCGGCTGATGCTTGTGCTGAGAGACGATGTGCTTCGAACGCCGATTTGCAACCATTGCTAACATTGCATCCGTTTTCGGTGGCTTTTCTGCGTTTGTTTACTAGGCGTAGAGAGAATCTTGCTCGTAGCAGAGCATGGTCCACGGTTTTTGACCGGTATGGAGCGGTAGCCTTCAATGGATCCTAGCCAGCGGTGGCTGATAGCAATGTGGTCGATTTGAGTCCAGCGCTGTGAAGCGGTTGTCAGTCTCCATGTAAGACGGTGGCGTTTTTTGTGCGAGTTCGTGCTTGACAGAAACAGTCCGTGGTCAGCACAAAGTTGGAGTAGGCGTTCTCCGTTGTCAGTCCTGTTGCCTGGGATTGCATGTGAACCTCCAAGTGGCCTCTGATTCGTCCAGGGATCCCACTTGAACATTGAAGTCTCCAGCGATCACCACGATGTCTGTTGACCGAGCACTTTGGAGCAGTTGAGAGAGGTCCTTGTAGAATTCATCCTTCACTTCTGGCGAACTGCAATCTGTCGGTGCATACGCGGATACGACGAATAAGCATCGGTGTTTCGTTCTGTAGTTGTTAACGCGTACTGAACCATCCAGACGTAGGGCGCAAAGTCGGCTGTTAACCGGGATCCAATCGAGAAGTGAACGCTCGGCCTTG